CATCTCTGTGTATGTGTTTTTGAAGTGCTGCAGTGAGACAAGACATGGATACCGAAAAGAACAGGAGTGTTTAGAGAGACTACACCAAAGGAATTCATGTTGAGGCATTAGGAATAAAGACGTGTCAAGGTCACACACTAACAACTGCACGAGAAGCTGTCACGATAACTAAAAATACACGACACTTTGCTTTGACGTTCCGTTTACATAACAAAAAAATACCCAACTCATTTGGGGATTTTTCACCTTTTCACTCCAGTGTGAGACTGAGTTGTTGATGGTGAGCCCACATTGCCTGGAGAGAATCTAGATTACACTGTGCCTCCTCTGATCCAGCAGCTCCTTTCCTCCTCACCCCAAGAGATTTCACTTACAGAGGGGAAAACATGCAGCATTTCAAGACACATCCCAACTTGTCTTCTGACTCTATTTACCCAGAACCCCAGAAAACTGCTCTAAAATGCTCTAAAACATGACTTAAAAGAAAGTAAAAAATATATATTTAAAACCTACAGAGAAGCAGGCAGTTTAAACTGACTTATACATGAACTGAAATAAGAATTTAACCTTATGTGCCTCTTTAGTATTTGTGTCTAAATCAGTTAATTGTTGTTATAAATACCCTGTGTTTATCTGTGTGAAACAAGTACGCTCTGGCATCAGGGATAGAGGATTTGAGTGCCTAAAATCTCTTACACTTCACTTTCCCAGGCTCAGATCCACCGTGTCTCAAGAGGACCACTGTAATGACAGTGACCATGAGTTTAGCTGGGATGTGCATGAGTGACTGTTGCCCGGTAGCTCTAAACCTGACAGTTAAGAAATGCTTCAAAAGACTGGTCGTGGCACACTCAAAACGAAAGACTAACATCAATGTCCCCCATGAGTACGCTTTTAAGACGAATCAGTCTGTATTGGAAGCACTCATATCTGTCACCCTTTTTGCTCTCATCCATCTGAGCAGTTCATGCTCTTCTTTTTAGACTCCAGTTCTGCCCTTAGCACAGGCTCTGGTGAAGAAACTCTGACTGCTTGGATAAAACCATCCCTTTGCAGCTGGATTCTGAATTGCTTTAAAAAAAAAACAGTTAAAAACCATTCAAAACCTACATCCTCAGCCAACGTCTTCAACAACAGCTTMTGTCAGAAATGGGTCTGGTGCTGAAACAATTCATCACGTAACTCTAATAGTTCAAATTATAAATAAATCATTGAGGCAAAAAACATTTAATAAACCATTTAATCCAAATGACTGCTGTCCAGTGGTCACTGTATTTATCAAGAACTGGTATTACTGTGGTGTCATGCCTAACATGCTTATTATAAACAGAGCTGTATCAATGCCAACAACAGATGGAACAATTCAGTGGCTCTTTGCATCCTTCCTCATGTGTGTATTTCCACGAATTGTGATTACTGATTAAAAAAATAAAAGTCTCCAACCCATGCTTGCTTAGCTATTGAGTAGTTTTGACAGGCCTGCCTCCTAACAACATGGCTGTTGTGGAATTGTGATGATTCATAAAGGGAGTAAGTAGAGGAAGGTGAGAAGTGGTGCAGAGTAAATATCTTCTGCATCAATATGAAGAAGACCAGCGGGATAGCTGTGGACTTTCAAAGACTGGTGTAAACTTTTATTCAACTCACTTTATTAAAGGGAGCAGCTGTGCAAATGGTTTAAGTATTATGGTCTATAGTTCCAGCAACATAAAGAAAACCTATCAGAGAATATATTGTCTCAGGAGGCTGAATTAGGCCAGCCACAAGAACTCAGTTCTAATGGCATTTTACTTGGTGTGAGGTGCAACATACACACACCTCTTCTTTCATCACCTGGTACACGGACTGCTCTGCTGCTGACAACAAGGTGCTGCAGATGGTGGTTAAATCTGACTAAAAAAATAATTCATAGCAGTCTTCCTCCTGCAAAGGACATCTACAGCAGCAGGTGCTGGAGGAGAGCGTCCTTTATCACGGAGGACCCCGCCCTTGCTGCATGTGAACTGTTTGACCTCTCCCTTCAGGTAGGAGGCTACGAAGCATTAAAGTGAGAACAAAGAGACTCCAGGACAGCTTCTTTCTGGAGGCTGTAAAGACCTGCAAAACTCTTTGTCTCACTGAATGACCCTTCCCTTTCATCCCACTGCTGTGCTGCAGCTCCATGTACTGAACTGCTTTGTTGTTCATTCTTACTTTTAGGCTTTTAGTATATATTTTTTAAAATGACTGATTCTTTCATACAGCCACACTTTATTGCTTTTATTGAATTAGCAGTGAGTGGACCTGACTGCATACTGTGCTCTCGTGTGTCAGATGATGGTATTTCTTAGAAAAGTGGACAGTAATGACACTAATCCACTAACCTTTCACATTCTCACATACCTGTGTGCATCTTCATCTAATTACTGCTCTTTATCACTTGCTTGATGGTTGTCTCATTTAGAGCCCGTATTGTCTGAGATACCTTCATCATTCTTAGTCTCGATGAGTTACAGGTTTTTTTGGTCGGATAAAGATAAAATCAAACTGTTTCTGACATCTATTGATTTTTTATCACTGAAAAGTGAGACCCTTTCAATTAAAACTATAAAACCCATCCGTGACATGAATGAAAGTCTTCTTATTTTCATACATAACACCTGAGGAGCTAGACCAACTTAAATAAAAAGAAATACAACAAAAACTGTTTGCCAACTGATCTAAAAAAGAAAGTGATGAARGATGCTGCTTTTCCAACTAATGAGCAGAGCAGAATGACAGATTAAAAAAGAGCAAAGTCCCACCCAGGAGTGAAACTATTTTTGTTTTCCAACAGTGTCATAAGGTACCAATGCTGTAGCAACATTCTGACTTGGAAAAAAAAGTCTTTACTTTATACAGAGTTGTAAAAAAAAGGAAAGAAATGATACAAACTGAGAAAATAGGCTGGTAAGTAAAAATACAAAAAACAATACTTGGAAGGTTGAGAGCAGACCTTTCAATGTTTGTGCTCTGTGGTTAAATAAAGAGATGAAAAAAAAGTTGAACACATCAGATTTCACAAATCATTGGAGCATCTTATTTCTTCTGAAATATTTGTTGGTTCAGTGATGTGCAGAATAAAAGTTTATTACAGATGGTATGCAGGAGGAACATTTTCAGAAAGTGTTATGGATCAGCTTCATTACCAACATATTATCTTTACTCTTTATATGATGTGCTCAGTAGTAAAAAATACACAATGACCATACAAAATGAGCCATAAAAAATAGAGTTTCACTTAAAACAAGACTTTTGACTATTTCTGATTAACTAATAACCCTGTACAGCAGGGCTATTCAAATAAATTGCTCAGGTGGCCATAGTTACTCAAAGGTAACAGCTCAGGGGCCGCATCTCCAGGGGGGTGGGGGGCTTGCACAATAATGAAAAACACTACATTAGTGCTGCACGAATTATTTGAAATAACRAATTACATTGATTATAAAAATAATAGTCGGCACAGAATTTTATTATTGGATATTCATATTATTTAACCACTTAAATGTTAATTTGTATCTTCAATAAATACATAAACTGCTGAGGGCAGAATCGCTTCTACTGTCTGTGGTTTCATTGTTTACTACTGAAGAGGTGCTGGAGCGGGGTCATCAAAGAGCGATAATAATAGTGGAACAAAAACACTGTCACATTGAAGAGGCAAAAAAAGCGAAGCCACCAGTTATGCTAACGTTAGCTATTAAACATATTAGCATATTAAATCAATGAATTTTAGTATTAATCTATCCTGTCTCGTCTTCTCCCGTTGTTGTTTTTTTTTCTTCGCGTTGAAGTCTTATTTGAACTTTTGGACTGCCACATCCAGCAAGATTTCAAACAGTATGGATTAATTTTTTTCTTTTATGCAATTGAATGCCAGTTTAACCAAAGTCCTTCTTTAGTTTATTTTGGACTTGCAGCAGGGCAGATGCTATTTTGAGTTATTTGTACATTAGCTGTTTGTTTAAAAGACTACTTGCAGTTTAGTTTGTATTTCATTAAATTTTTTACGATCACATGTAATAATGTTAGAATACATGGGATTAAGCTACTATAGGTTTAAGTTTTATAGGTTATTATTTTGATTTGCTGTGGGAACCTGTTATGTAAAGGTAAAAAGACTGGATAACAGGATGACATTCTCAGGCAGTACTGGAGCTGGGACAGAAGATGTGCTCACCTGGAGCATAGATGGAGAATGTGACAGAAATAACAGTGACTAATCAACTAATTATTTAATTGAAAAAACAATTGACAGATTAATCGACCATCAAAATAACAATTAGGTGCAGTCAAACACTACATTATGTAAAAGAAGTACAAGTGTTTTAATTTGGTTGTTTCGTTGCACTGAAGCACAAGTTTAAAATTAACAATGYTTTAAAATCTATTTTTATATTAAACCAAAGAAGAAAAAATAACCTTGCTGTATGGCAAGAATCATAGTGAAACTTAACCACGTTCAAGTTGAAGCAACTTGTTCTACTTGAAGTTTTGTAATCACATCAACTAAGATGAGAGTAGTGTCTCACAGTTTGTGTTGTCCTTATGTTTTTGGAACATGCACTACAGAATTATAATGTAGACCCTTGTAAAGTAGTAACAATATATGAAAAATGAGTTTTTGAGAGAAAGAGCAATTATGACAGAGTTTGTGCTCACATTGACCATCCTCATTTAATGGATTTGGCAATGAACAAAGAGCTCAAATGAGCCTCTTTTCAGCACAGCCCGAGTTTACGTTAGAGTAGAAAATCAAAATTACATGACAGGTAATAGTTACAGCCATCTGCTTTATGGGCTGGGGAAAAGACTTGCTTGCGTTCAGTGAATCTAATTGGTCTAGGAGGAGCTGTTACAGCAAACAAAAAACAAAGTTGTGTGAAATGTGGTGAAGATCGAGTGGTCAATTTCAAACTGCCACTTTCAAACAAAAGGTTAGAGATGTAGAAAGAAGGGAGAAATACGAGCGAGTCACTTACCCATCACTTTTACAAAATAAGCATCAGCTTCAAAATTGTTCTTCAAAGCGTGGATCATCAAGTCCTTTTGGTTGTCTGCCTGGCTCAGGACAATCATGTCTAATATTCCCTACAAATTAAAACGAGGTATACAGTTAAAAGCTACAAAATAATTCTTAATGTGGATCCCATAAAACAGCTAAATCATAAATAAGTCATGCATGATCATTTGAGATACATTATATTGCTACAGTGGAGAAAAATCAATACGGAAATATTAATTACATMTAATGATGACATTAGTTATAAAGACTGTAAAACCACTCCATCACAATACTCAAAGAGAATAAATGTTTTGTATTACAATACAACATCAGGAGAAAAAGTATTATCAATAACTTTAAGCTCTGTGAACATTGGGCCTCATGCAAGAACCGTTCGTACGCACAGATTTGTTCTTAAGTTGTGCGTACGAGTGATTTAGGAGAATTTGTGGCATTCACCAATGTTTTCGTATTCTAAGATTTTTTTCAGATACGAACAAAATTTACGASTGGTCCAGACCTGTCGTATATTTTACGAACAGTCAGTCTGCTGTTATCCAGACGGGTTTTCTTCATTAATAACTTTATATTTAGTTTAGTTTGAAGATATTTTGAGTTGAAAATAAATCACACTCCATAATTATGTTGACAATAGGCTACTCTGCTTGAATTAGAGTTATAATTTTAATATATAATATAAAATGTCCGTCCGGCCGGCTTATCCGCTATCGGGTGCGGCGGGGGGGGCAGCAGCAGGAGACCCCGCTCTCCCCAGAGACACTTTCCAGCTCGTCCTGGGGGACACCGAGACGTTCCCAGGCCAGAGGGGATATATGATCAAGTCCTGGATTTTCTCCAAAGTGCCAGACTTATTTTGAAAGCATTTTAAAAGGCTTATTTCAAACCCGCATCTGAGACCAAGCGCTGTGGCTTCTGAATAAATGAAAATGATTTAACACAGTTGTTTATACTTTTAGCAGCTCTTTTTTATTCCACAGGTGACCTGCTAAAAATGACAGATTTTCTTTTCTGGATCTCTGACAGACGGACTTCAATCTCTGAACTCGTAAAGTTTTTCTTTTAAGTTTTCGCTGTCATTTTTCATGAATGGACACTTCCTGATATCTGAGGCAGGAATCATAGCCTTATATGGTGTTTTTGGGGTGGTAATTATGCTAATCTCCTCTAGCGTGCACGAGCAGCTGGATAGAACAGGTGTAATTTACGCAGCTCATTTACGCACGTTTCCTGAAGATAGAAGTTTGTTGAATCTGACGTGACATGTTCGTACGAACCCTTTGTACGAACAAAAGTAAGAGAAATTTAGGATAAAAATACGAACATGTTCTTGCATGAGGCCCAATGAGTTTTAATATAGAAACATTTAATAATCTGAAAACAAAAACTGTGTCCTTAACTCTTATCTCAAACATTACTCTGAAAATTAAAGAAAATCATACATAAAAAAAAACATTCTGTTGATACCAATGTGGGCAAAAGCTTTTTTTCTTGCTCTGTGATATTTATTCATTTTGTTCAGCTTTTTGCATCTTATTTTTTACTAGATCCCTGGGAAATTCTTTCCATGTCAGCTAAATTGAGTGGCAGATTTAATACAGTGAAATTAAAATGCTTAGAAGATATTTAGAAAAAGAAGTGTATGACTGAAAAGGTTATGATGAGAATTACTAAATTCTTGGTACAGATATTAAGGTTCAGGTGTAACTAATGGAACAAACAACAACAAAACACATTAAATAAACACAATACCATCTACTCACATCCTCATAGATGTCAAAGAAAGTTGCAATGAAAGCATTCTTGATTGCTCCCAAGTCTGACTGGTCCCAATGGATGTGGAACATTCGTCCAATACCGACACAGCTGGGGTTGTTACAGGGAACGTTCTCCAACAGGAAGGCCCGCTGTTCGCTGGGGTCAAAAAGAGGCAAAACACAAATTATTATTTAAATCCAGGATGATGACAGAGAGGCTTAATGTCATTTGATGCTGTTTCATCTTCGACTCAGTCAGATAATTTATCAATTACATCACACCTAACATTTTGTCAAATTAATTAATATTTACTAAGCTCATCCAATGCCGAGTTCAGAAGGCAAGATAACTGTGTCAATTTTTGGCCTGATTTTGCCCTTCTCACAATCTTAAAGGATGCTCCAATAATCGTGATGGCTCTAAAGATAATTTTAGAAGATATTCTTGCAGTGTGGGGGTGTGTTAAGTGTGATCTAGTCGGCTCGGAAGGACATTGGGACAATTCCAATCGCAAATCTGGGAGATTCAACATGTCGGATTTTCTTGGCAAAATATCCCAGTCAAAAGAAAAAAAACTGCCATGGCTCACCACAAAGTCTGCTGGACATTGGAAAGGTATTTTTGAATTGTTTTTTTTCTCGGTTAAAATAGTCCACAAACTACGGCCATTGCTTCTTCCTCATCTGCAATGTTTATTTACTCCCATTTGATCTCAGAAAGTCTCGCACAACTTCCTGTTTGAATGTTTGCGAGGTCTCACGTGATTTCAGGAGGTCTCGAGAGATTTCCCATCTGACATCTGAATGTTTGTGAAGGAAATCTGTTAGTGTGTGAAGTGTGTTGTCTTTTCTGTGTGGCTGTACACCACACACTGTAGGAAAAAAACCCGGTTATGTCCAGGATTTTTTATCCTTGTGTGGGGTCTCTTGGTCTTTGAAAATTGGCTGACAGTTTTAAAATCTTGCCGTGTGAACCAGGCATAAAACAGCTTGGGAGTAATGTTCAGCCAGCTTAACCCCTCCTTAACCTTTTAGGTTAGGTTTACAGATCAAAACTGGGGAACATGTGACATCAACATAATGTAATGACAAATTCTCCTGGCTGGAGCCCAGAGCAGTTTCCTCATTTACACAGAAAAACACACAGTTTAGTTTTAGGGGAAATAAAGAAAATTGAGAGACAAAAAAGTAGTTTTCCTCTATCTAATCAGGTATACAACATTTTGTTTGTACTAAATTGCATATGTTGAAAACAAGTGTGGCCTCTTTCTGCAAATGCAGATAAAAGGTGATTGTTTTAGTTGTTTTGAAATAAATCCCTGCAGCTCTAACCTTTTTCCCCCTCTAAACCTGTGTGCTCAAACTGAGCAAGGATAATATACATGTGCATTCTTATATAACATACATATAAAACACATTTTCTAGCAGTAACATGTTCCTATTATATGCAGTGTTAGTTATTCTTATTATTCTATCTCCATAAAAAAGTATCTGAAAATACAAAATCCAAAGTATATTTGAGCATAAAAACAACAAATAATGATAATGAGCCAAGAATAAAATGACTCATTTATTCACACACAGTGAGCTTTTTAAAACATGGGCACTGTGTGCACCATATAATAAATATGGCAGTAATAACAATAATAAAAGATAATACTACTTAATAGCTGGCTTTAATCAAGCAGCCAAAGTAGTCAAACTGATACCTGAAATATACTGGTAACTCCCCTCTGAGCTTTTTGCTTGGTGCCATTATAAAAGCTTCCCAAAGGGGAACGGTTTGTGATCCAGTGTTGTTATTGTCATATTGTAGTGAGCTTTTTATTATTTGTTCGTGTATTTATTTTTTTAACATAAATTGTGTGAAGTTTTTTTTTGTAATCTGCTTTTCAAACTCCAGGTATACACAGCAGGTATCATTCATGCAATTTTTTTTTTTACAAAACTTGTGATGACTTGATGCTTAAAGCTGCTGTATGTAGTTTCTTGGGTACCCAAAAACTTAGAAAATTTTGAACAGAAACA